TACAGCCCTGGGTTGGGGACAGTCTGAGGGGTGACAGTGACCCCATTGATACAGCCCTGGGTTGGGGACAATCTGAGGGGTGACAGTGACCCCATTGATGGAGCCCTGGGTCATTCCCAGATGGAGCCCTGGGTTGGGGTTGGGGACAATCCGAGGGGTGACAGTGACCCCTCCCACTCCACACAGCTGCCAGCAGGGCTGGCTGGGGTTTCTTTATCGGGGTTTCTGCGTAGGGTGGAAAAACCCTTGGGCCACCGAGCGAGAGGCTAAAAGTGGCTAAAAGTGGCCGGGGTCAGGGCGAGCAGCTGCCGGGGCCGTGCTGGAAGCACCGAGCTCAGCAGGGCCGGAGCTGCCCCGATTGCATTGCACAGCCCCCAGCTGGCATGTGGAGCAGCCAGAAATAAACCTGTTTGTGTAGCAACTGGAAACACAGCAACAGCAGCGAGCTGGGATGGGACTCTCCTCTTTGGGTGCTTGGGGTTTGGTTGGGTTTTGGTTGGGTTTGTTGTTTTGTTTGTTTTTTCTTTTTGTTTGAGGTTGTTGGGTTTTTATTTTGGGAGGCCAGAAATATTTCTTGGGGTGAGAGAGATTTGTTGTAAAGAGGTTTTTGCTTGGGATGTGAGCTCCCCGGAGCATCCACAGGCTGCAAGTGGCAGCAGGATGTCTCCATGGAGGTCTGGGACTCCCAGCAGCATCTTCATTGCCCTTTGATGAACCACAGGCTTTGGGATGCTGGGGTGAGTGGAGAAATGCTGGATACAGCACCAAAGCAGAGCCAGCAGGGTGCAGGGACAGGCTGGAACCAGGTGCACCCCAATATTTGGGGGACATCACTGACATTGCTGTGTTCTAGTCCCTTTCCAGCTGTTATTGCATTTTTTGGACAGGGAAAGGGAATCAGGAATGATTTGGGCTTCTCCAGATGGGCTCCTCAGGACCCAGGATTATGCCCTGCAGTGGCAGGATCCAGGAGGACAGAGCAAGCTCCAAGCAGACAGAAAACAGGGAAGATGGGCTGATTAAGTGTCTAAATGAGTTATATATAAAATAACCTTCCTGCAAGCACGGGGCAAAGCACAAGGTCACCCCGTGGCTGGGACAGAGCAGTGACAAAGCTCCCACCTCCCACCCCTGCTGCTGCTGGCACTTAATCCCCTGGCAGTGCCACGTGGGGAGAGCTCTGCAAACAGCATCAGAGAGCTTGGAGTCAGGGAAAAGAATTCAACTGGGCCCACCAAAAGGTGAATTTGTTGTGGCCCTGTGGGAAGGTAAAACATCTTTGTGTAACGCTGCCAGGAAGGGCCGTGGGACAAAACCAGAACCTGAGAAAGCAGCTCATAAAGGCCAATTTCTCCACGGTGTGTAACTAGACCCAGCAGTGTGGGTGATGCATGAAGCTCTGGGTTTAGTTTAATAGGGGAAAGAAAACCATCAAAAGAATATTTAGGAAGGTTTGTGTCACTCTGGTGCATTTCCCATCACATGGGGATGTGTCAAAGGACCAAGCTTAGTCCTGCAAGTGCTGAAGAGGGGCCTGGAAATAGTTATAGCAAAGCATGTGATCCATTGGAAAGGGGGAAAAGAGGAAGAAAATCCAGCTTGGAGATTCTGGCTCTCTCTTACCTCTCCTGTCACCTTTCTGCTCCTCCTGAGTGAGGAATGAGATGGTGAGGGACGTGAAACCGTGTCACCAAGGCCTCATCAGCTCAGCTCCACGCAACTGGCACGGCTAAAACCTCCTGAATCAGCACCAGCTGGCTGGAAAATGAAAGCTGGGCTGTTTGCTCCCCTCTTGCACCTCCCAAAATAACCAGCAGCTTCCTTCTCCTCCCTCCCTCCGGCCGCTCACAGCCCCAGCTCCCCCGGCAGTCAGCGCCCGGCTGTGTCCTGCTCCCTGTGCCCCACCACGTTAAATGGGCATTTTTGAAGATCACCAGGCTGCAAATGTCTGAAAATGTCTGAAAAGTGTTGGAGAACACGGTTCCCCCCCTCCCAGTGCCCAGGGTCCCGTGTGGAGGTTGTGAGGTGCTGTGGGGCACGTCCAGCAAGGAGGAAAATCATCTTAAACCGCCCCCATTGCTTCCACTTTCATCTCATCTAAAGAAGAAGCAGAGCATAAAAAGGTGGGCAGCACATTTCTCCAGGCTCCTTCAGAAGCCCCAGGAGCTGCAGGAGCTGCCCAGCTCCAGCCTCTTTCTGTCCTGGGTCAGACAGGAGTCGACAGCATCCACACCAAACCATGCCAGGGGCTGAGCTCCACACAGGAGAACAGCAATGAAGGGAATTTAGGGGATCCATGAGGGAATCTACAGCTCCTGTCTCAGAGAGCCAGCCTCAGACAAAAAAAAAGAATTATCCCTCTCTGCCTGCTTGCCTGTATTTATTTGTGCTCCTGGTTTTGGGAGCAGAGGAGTTCTGGTGTAAATTACTTGCACGACCTTTCCTGTTTGATGACTTTACAGCTGGCTGCTCACACCTCAAATATAATTCCATTTATGCCATCCATCATTAGCACCTGCTGGGGAGCCTGGCAGCTGCTGGGGCTGGTGCTGCTGTCACCGGGGGCTGTGACAGTGGCAGGACACGGGACAAGGCTGAGGGACACACGGCCAAGGACCCTGGGCCTTCTCCATCACACCTGCCACAGGATTGAATAAAATCCTTCTGTTGTCTCCTTGAGCTCTGAAGCTCCTGCTGGCTCATTTTTCCAACTCTTTTCGCTGCCCTACAGGATCATCCTCCCACCACAAAGGCCACGGGCAGCCAAACTCCGCTCTCCCAGCAGCTTCTTGCTTATGAGTTCTGGCATTTCCACGTCCTCAGCAGCCAAAAAACCACCCAGGACAAGACCTGGCTGTGTCATTTCCCATCTGGAGAGCCCCTTGCTCACATCCCCCCTCCCCAGCACACTGCAGGGGAGCTGTTCTCACTCTGCAATTAAAACTCGGAAGGAATTCCTATTAAATCCAGGCGGGTTTGTGCCACCGGTCTGTCCCTCCAGCAGTCCCATCAGGCTTTATGTGCTTTATTGCTCTCAATCCCTTCTCGGCTATGCTTAATTACACTTAATTATTGTAATCCCGCTCTCTGCCTTCCTACCTCCAACCCACGAGCCCAGCACAATTCTGGGCGCTGCTGCTGTGCTCGTAAAGGCGAATTCCAGAGCTTCCGAGCCGGCGGCAGGAATGCCAACCCTTCCATGGCTCTGCTCCTCTGCCAGGGGCTGGGGCTGCCTCTCCTCGCCTTTACAAAGCTCCTCGCAGCGATTAAGAATGGACAGACTTAATTCGGGCAGCTATTCCATCCCCGCAGACAAAGGAAACAAGCCGGAGCGCACTTAAGGAGCAATTATTTAAATCCCCCTGTCTGCAAGAGGCGGGGGGAAAAGCTGCTCGTGCCAAGAATCCCCATCTCCCTCCCACATCCCAAACTCTCCTTGCCACTCCTTATAAGTTCAGCTTTCCCCAGATGTCTCTGTCTGCATCTGCACCCAGGAAATCCCATTTATCATTTCCCTATAAACTCTGCGAGAGAGGGATGGAACCACAGGGAAAACAAATTTGGTCAAGAACGTGTGCTTTGTTGTTGGGTTTTACACCCAAAATCCAAGTGAAGAGAGCAGTCTGTGGAGCATCTGTGCCCGTGGCTGCCCCCAAAAGTGTTTGTAAGGCCCATGGGGGTGATTTGACAAGAGGAAAGAAAACAAACCCAAAGCTGCCACCGCTCCCTCCTCGCCTGTGCCACGAGGAGCTGAGCTTACAAAAACCATCAGGTGAATCATCCCCGCTCCCCGAAGCTTAATGAAAACATAATTAGGGGAAAAATTCTCCTTTTTGGTTCAGACTTTCCATTGCCCCATCCTGGACACTTCCAGGGACAGGGCAGCCAGGGCATCACCACCCTCAGTGAAGAATTTTTCTCTGATATCCAACCTAACCCTTCTCCTTTCCAGCTTGAAGCTCTTCCCTCCTGTCCTGTCACTACAATAATTAATAATAATAGGAATACACCACAGGAACAACAAACTCCAGGCTTCAGCTCCCCATCTTTGTGCAGATTTGGGTTTTTACCAGCATCTCCCATCATGATTTCACCAGGCAGAAAGACACGGGCTCAGCTTTGGTGTTGGATTCCCCAGCCCCTCATTGGCACCAAACCTCATTTCCCCTCCCAGTGCCCAGTGTAGCTCAGACAGCAGAATTTGGGAGACAATCCCTTATCATGTTACATCAACAAGCATTCCAGCAGGGTGGAGAAGATTATTTTTTTAATCTGAGGTGCTGTTCTTGAGAAAATGTCACTGAGAGAGTGTCCCATGGACTCACGGCAGGCTCAACACAGAGCTACACATATTTATATACATATATCACAAAGATGTCTAAATCTCTACATATATATTTTATTTTACTGTTTTCAGCTTGCAGACTTTTCAAAAATCAGCTATTTGCTGCTCACCCATATTAAAAACGAGGTAAAAACTCTCTGTGTTGTCTGCACACTCTGTGTGTGTAACACACGTGGTTTAATCACCCAGGTTGTAGCTGGAGACCTTTTATTGGAGCATGATTTCATCTTCAAACCATCCCAATATCCACTTGTGTACAGTAAGTTACCCATTTATAGGTTTCTAATAAAAGCAAATCTTCCCTAAGTGGCTATTACTGGATTTCTCCTTTCAGCCTGGGGATAAGCAGGATTCTGGGCTTTAAAAAGCTCTCTAGTGGGCTGAATAAGAAAGTGACAACTGAAGAATGTCATGGCAAAACTCTGGTGTGTTCTAATTACGGCACTGTTAACGAGAGGAACATTTGTCAGACCAGAGCTTCATCACGTTTAGCACAGACACAGAAACCTCCCACTCAGCCAGTGACAATTTTCTCTCCTCTCTGGGCAGATGCCACAGGAGGTGTTGTCTGCCAGCACCAGGTAAGTTCCACCATCTGGAAATAATTATTCCTCTTTCATTTTAATCAAGGGCTTTTAGGAATTTGCACACTCGATTGCTAAAGAAAATTACGCTTTTATTTTATTTTTTAAAAAAAAAACGACCCGAAGTACAACTTCAAGAAATCTGCTCGTTACATTTTAGATACATAATTTGAGATTGATTTCCAGAACGTTCCTCCACAGTTATATCCACATGCACCTCCAATGTTTTCCACATTCCCCACCCTTGTCACACCTCATCACGATATTTATAATAAAAAGGCAAACCTGCAGATTGAGAGGATGCTGATATTTAGTTGAAACATCTGCAGTGTGTAAGAACCCCTGAGCAGGAAGGTGGTTGTGCTGAGGCTGGTAAAACCCTGAGTGCTGTGTGGTGGCTGCCTCACCCTGCCAGCCCCTCTGATTTGGAATAAAAAAAATCCAAGACAACATTCTGGAGCCATGGATTTATTTTTTTTTTTTAATTTTGGATTTTACCTGGCTCAGGGATAATTACAGAGCTGGAGGCATCAATGGTGTTTCAGAACACGAGGGCTCTCTCATGGGATGTAGGAGCTGTATTTATTTCTACAAACTGATGTTAGGTTAATAAAAAAATAAAAAATCAAGTGGTGTCTGTGACTTCCTGGCTTTGCATAATTCCCTGATAGGAGAGAGCAGCCAGGGGGATTTGGGATTTTGGGATTTGGGATGTTATCCCAGGGACAGGAGGAGAGGGAACGGCCTCAGGCTGGGCCAGGGGAGGCTCAGCTCGGACAGCAGCAGGAATTTCCTCATGGAAAGGGCGGCCAGGCCTTGGAAGAGCCTGGGAAGGTTTGGAGTCCCCGTCCCTGGAGTGTCCAGTGAGTGGACATTGGTGGGGATCAGGCACAGGCTGGAACTGATGATCCCAGAGGGATTTTCCAGCCTCAGCGATTCCAGGATTCTGTGAAGCACCAAATATAAAATCACAATGTCCAACAGCCACAGCTCTGAGCACTCAGCACCTGCAGAGGCCCCAGGATTTTTCATCCAAGTCTCTGAGCACAGTTTGTTTTCAGTCTCAGCTGGTGTTGCACACAAGTCCCACAGATATTTCCATATTATTTTGGCTCTCCACTTCCACAATGGAATTCAACTTTGGCAGGCAGGGGATTTGTATCATTTCAGCAGAGATCTCTGGGTGCAGCATCAGCCTTTTGTTTGTGTGCCTGGGATTAGCAAGACATTGCTGAGATCATCATATATATGTTCCACAGCCAGGACAGCTTTTGGTATTAAACAAGAAAAAAAACAAACCCCAGGAGAGCTGCAGCCTGCAGGGAGCAGCCCTTTAAAAAGGAACCTGTGTTTGTTTAAGAGGTGGATTTGATGATGGTGATGGTTCCTTAAAAAGTTTTCAACTGCACGAAAACCCTAACAGGTAAAAAAAGATTGTAGGAAATCACTCAGTCTTCCACAAAAGTTAAATCTAATTAATCTGCTGGGAATTCTTAGAGCACTGGTCAAGCAGGATTCCCATTCCAGCTGGCTGGGAGGATACAAATCACCAGTGAGGAGTGTCTGTGGTACCCAGAAAATCTCCAGATTTAGGTTTCAGTCTCTCAGATGTGCTGCTCATGCATTGGCATTGCTTTACATAAAAATATTGCTGAGCCAAACAGCTCAAAGTGCAGCCAGCCAACAGTTGTTATTTGCACCTCTCACAGGGTAGGAAAACACTATAAAGAGCATTTTAAAACAAGTTTGGGTGACATTCAGGAATGCAGTGCCTCATTTGCTGCAAACACATTTACAGTGTATATATAAATTTTTTTATATATAAGAGATATTTTTATATATGCTTATATATACTATATATATTTATATATAATATATATTTTATATGTGTTTGTATATAAAATATTATATGTATTTTATATATATTATTTATATTTTATATATATTTATATATTATATATAAAAATATATTGTATATATTTATATATGTTCATATATAGATATATGTTTATATATAAATATATAAAATATATGCTTATATATAAATATATATCAATATATATTGATATAAATATATAAAAATATATATTTATTTATAAAAATAATTATATATATCTATATTTTTATATTTATATAATATATATTTATATATAATATATAATATATATTTATATATAATATATACAAATATATTTATATATAAATATATCACTATATGAAATATATAAAAATAATATATATAAATATTTTATATATATTATATATATTATATTTTATATATATTATATATATTATAGATATATATTTTTTATATATATCTGTGTGTGTTTATAAAGTGATTTACATGTGTTCTGTGCTCACTTCTGAGGAGAACATGAGTGAGGTGCCAGTGCTGGCAGCTCAACAAAGCAAATCTACCACAAGAATAAAATCTGCTCTTTATCTCTCCAGCCAGTGCTGGCAGCTCAACAAAGCAAATCTACCACAAGAATAAAATCTGCTCTTTATCTCTCCAGCCATTTTTCATTTCAGGCTCCTTCCAACACTCTCAGCAGCAGCACAGCTCATGATGTGATGCCTCTGGTGATTCCAGGGTTTGGTTTTCCCAAAAAACAAGTGTGACTTTGAGGTTTGGCCGTATCTGGAGAGCGCAGAGTGCAGACTGTGAGTGCCCTGATAAATGACAGTGACACAGCCCAGGGTGTCACAGCCCTGCCTCAGACACCTCCTGCTCCAACTCACAGGGAACTCAGCAAGTCCAGGCTCTGCACAGACAATTCCTCAGAGGATTTTTATTGGCTCAGCTGTTTGGGAATTCTGCATCAAACAATTCACCAAAAGCAAATGCTTTATGAAGAAATTGGGGATTAGTGATCAAGACCCCGATATTCTCAGCTGGGTTTTTCCTGAGTTAGGAAGAAATTTCCAGCCCAGTAAAAATCTGCTGAGGCTGTTTTTCCTTTTCACCCAAATTAGCAATTCACTTAACTATATATTTGATTTTCAAATATGGCAGTACCAAGTAAGCAAGAGCCACTCTCAAACAAACACCTCGTGCAGTCAGGGCATGCTGAACACATTTTCTAGATGAAAAACCATGGTTTTGCTAATTAATTGATTTATCTGCTACTTCACTGCCCCAGCCTTAAGCAAAATTACTGAGTGTGCACCAGAGGCTGCCACAGGAGGAGTTCCCTCACAGTCACTTCTTCCCACAAGTCACAGAATTATCATTATTATTCTACATTTTTTATAGACAAAATGGTTTTGAACCAGGAGCCTGCTGTGTGTTCCTGAGCTCCCAGCACATCACCACTGCCAGGCTCCAGTGCCTCATTTCCCCTAGAAAATCCTTTTCCACACATCTTTCCTACCCAGCTGTTGCTCCTGAAAGGTTCCTTTCTGCTCTCTCATCTGGAGGATTTTGTTACAAAAAAACATAAAAGGCAGAAAAGGAAGATTTCTGGCTTTTGAAAAGTGCCAGATCTATCAGAGATTCTCCTAAAATCGATGGGAGATTTTAGGAGACTTTAGAGACTGCCACTTCCCTCCAGAATCCTCTTCCCTGGGTCTTCATTCAAATAAAATGAAGCCAAGCAAAACAAAAAATACAAATTGTTGTTGTAAGTGGCCCAGGAACAGCCCATCCATGCTGGCTGCTGCACGGATAAGGGCCAGACTGTTATTTTAATACCATTACCAATCTCACTGAATTGACACTTGTGAAACAAAACAAGTCAGAAAAACCTCACACTCCAGAACCTCCATTTCAGCTCCTGGGACATCTAAGTTCAAAGTTCTCTGGAGTTCTGTCTGAGTCTTTTTTTGAGGTTTTCTGCGGGCCTCCACCCAGTGCTGTAACAACCCAGAGGGGCCAGAGCAGCCCCATCTCCTCAGGGGAAGGGTCTCCTACTGAACATTTGCTCACCTTATCTTTAAAATCACCTTTGTTTGCATACTGAGAGTCTCCTTTAGCATTCAAAACCTGCTGCAGAGAAAAGTCATTACATTTAAAACCTTCTGTTCATAAAAGCTCTAAATTACATTTAAAGTCCTGTGGAGGCACCTGGCAAGGGATCAGATGGTTTTGGAGATGGATTCGGGCCATGAGGCTGCAAGAAGGAACAACCCCAACAAGCTGTGCTGCGGTTGTGACAGGTCACACCACCCTGGCATGTTCTGGGAAGATAAAGGAAGAGGAAATACAAGCTCATGGACTTCAAGAATGAGAAAATGTAGGCACCCAAAGGCCTGAAGGAAGGCAATTAGAAACAAAGCAGCTCTTCCCATTAAATATTTTCATTTGGATCCGCCAGTTTTTGCACCTTATCAGCCTTTCCTGGTTATGTTTCCAAGAGATTTTGCTGAGATTTCAGAGCACACTCCCAATTATTAATGTGTGTTTCCCCCCCTCCCTCATTTTCCAGACACAGCCCTGGGCCTGAAAAAGTTCCACTTGTCTGACAGGGATGGCATGTTTGCATTTTTATTAAAAGAGCTTCATGTAACTCAATGGAATTCACTCTACACAAAGAGATAATTTTTTTGCAATTACCAGAATCTCAAACATGGATATAAACCAGCTCTTGAAGTTCAACATTTTTGTTTTAGAAATACAGGAAAAAACAAAGACACACACCTGGCAGAACTCATGATGGAAATCTGAGCTCCAAAGAAACAGAGAATTCAATCATTTCCTGAACAAACTGGCTCACACTGGTGATGGACCAGGCCTGATCCCAAATACCCCCAACAAGCTTTCCATAGATTTTTAGGGGGAAAATAGCAAGTGTTATGGAAATTAATAGTTTTATTTAGATATGTCCTGTGTTTCATGGCATTTCTATGCTGCTTTGAAATTTTAGCATCTGAGTATTTTCCTTTCCAACAACAAATTCCTTTGGTGTCTACATCCCATCACATTTTTTTAAATCCCAGGATAGATAAGGGAAAAGCAATGCAGAGAAATAAAATTCTTCAAACTCAAGCAATTTGCGAGTAGGTTCCTAATGCATTACATGAATGCATTTGTGCTTTTGACAAGAGATTTAATAACTTTCCCCTAGAAGAGAAAGAGTTCAGCTGGAGATAACTGAAAACACAAGAGTTTAAATCAAGTTTTTTTTCTTGCCTGAAGCAAAAGAACCTGTTGAACCATGATAAGAAATGGTCTGATTTCTAAACCAGCATTTTTAAACAGCACATCAGCCAAACTGTCTCTGTACTCCCCAGCTGAGCTGAAACCTCAGCAGTGGAATATGCACCAGGTGTGAGTGAAGCAACTGGATAAAATCAGCCCTTTAATGTGCATATTTTTGACTGATCTTCCAGTATTCCAGACTGAGCCCCTAACAAAAAGTAAATCCATTAGAATCCCTCTGCATTTAACTTCCTCCCACAGCATGAACAGACAAGTTTACACCCACGGGTGTATCCTGGGAGCCCAGCACTCCCCACTAGCTGACCAGTTTGGGGAGCACAGTACACAGAGGGATGTTGCCACTGGGCTCAGTGGCCAGACTGGCCCTCAGCTTGTTGGGGACTGCAGCCACGGGAGGCAGCTTGTTAGCAATTCCTTGGAAGGAACCCGAATAGCTCGAAATCCGTCTGCTGGAGCTTTTCTCCAAGCTGGGGGCTTTGGGCACCCGTTTGCAGATCCAGGGGTGCCGCAGGGCCTGGCTGGGAATCATGCGTGCAGAAGGATCCCAGCTGAGGCAATCCTTCAGGAATCCAGTGAACAAGGGGTCATCACAGCCCTTCAGAGCTGTCACCCAGTCCTTGTTCCCTGGGGCACCCCGGAGCTTGCCCCGGCGCGTGCGGCTCCCGCTCAGGGTCACCTTCCCGTCCGGCTGCGTCTGCACCGTGCAGTAACGGGGGTGACCCTTGGAGTTGATGAAGTTCTTGGCTCGCTTGGATTGATCCAAAAGCTTCTGAGGTGGCATTCCAAGAAGTTCCATTATACAGGCCAGCTGGTCTGCCTCGTCCTCTCCGGGGAAAAGAGGGTAGCCAGTCAAAAGCTCCACCAGGATACAGCCAAAACTCCACATGTCTATGGGCATCCCGTAGCGGCTGCCCAGGATCACCTCTGGTGCCCGATAAAACCGGGACTGGATGTATGTGTAGACTCTTTGGTGCTCAAAACAGCTGGACCCAAAATCTATAACCTTGATTCCACTCCTCCCTTGCTGTTTTAGGAGGATATTTTCTGGCTTCAAGTCACAGTGGATGATTTTGTTTCTGTAAAGAGCATCCAAACACTGCAGGATGGAGTGAGCAAACTTCCGAACCAGCTGGAGGCTAAAGCCCTGAAACTTATTCCTTTTAATCAGCTCATACAGGTTCATACTCAAGAGTTCAAAGGTCATGCAGATGTGGTTCCGAAAGGTGAAGCTTTCCAGCATGTGGATCACATTCATGCTGCCTGTTTTATCCTGCTTCTTCAGGTGCTCCAGGATCCTGATCTCCTCGGCGGCTTGGCGGTGGAACCTCTTCTCATTGCGAACCATCTTTAAGGCCAGGTGTTGGTGGAGTTTGTGATCGTAGACTTTAGCGACTTGTCCAAAACTTCCCTTGCCAATGATTTTGAGCACCTCATACCTGTAAGCCAGGTGGTCATGGGGCACGTGGATGTAGCTGCCTTGGTCGTCATCGTAGCCGCTGTTGTTGGGGCCGCCGATCACCCCCTGCCTCTTTTTGGCAGACGGCCCCACAAAGTAAATCTCAGAGAAACTAAAGATCTCCTGCAGCTCATAAGCTGACAGCTGATGTTTGAACTGCTTGACAGCTTGCTCTGGAGGTTGGGAGATGGCTTTATGTGATTTCAAGGAGCTCCCATTGCCTCTGGGACCCAGGCTCTCTAGGGTTTTGTCTTTTGTCAGGGAAGGGAGAGATCTTTCCGGAGTAAGGCCTGAAGACTGAAGAGTGCTGCTCCTTCTGTTGCCAGAGTCCTCAAATAACTGCTCCACTTTGACCTGATTTCCAGTCAGAGAGTGATCCTTCATTATGAGTTTGTTGATAGAAACCTATGAGGGTAAAAGAAGTTTAGTTTATCTTTTAAAGCACAGATTAAAAATTAAATCACTATCAACAGAAAATCAGTAACACGGATGAGTTTGGCATTTATTAGGAACAAATATAAAATGCTGGATTAAATTAATTTACAAGCATAGTTATAGAAGGATACACAAAGAGAAAGCAATTATCTGAAACAACACTTGTGCTTTTAAATCCAGAAAGGGAAACCCTAGCCAGCCAAGGACTCAAACAACCACAAAATACCTATCTCCAGTCTGCAAAGGGCCAGGGGACAGCTATGTTTAGCTTCAAACGTGGGTGCAGCAGCACAACCATCGACAGATGCAAGCTGCACCTGTCTGGAGCACGGAATGGAACGTGGATGTGTGGAGAAGTGGCAGAAGATTGCACAGCCAGGCTGCCAAAGGAACACAAAGCATCGCCAGCAGGTGACATATGGCTGGTGTGAGGCAGCTGCACCAGGAGCAGAAGGAGGACAGGGCAAGGCAAGGTAAACCATCCTTTAACAAAAATTAATTGTGGGGTTTTAAATTCAAGGGGAAAACATGACTCCTTTTGAAATCATGGTGGAATTATAGAATACCCTGAGCTGGAAGGGACCCACAAAAACCATCAAGTCCAACTCCTGGACACCCCAAAATCCCTCCCAGTCCCTGAGAGCGTTGTTCTGGAACTCTGGCAGCCTTGGAGCTGTGCCCATGCCCTGGGCAGCCTGTTCTGTGCCCCACCACCCTCTGGGGGAAGAACTTTTACCCAACCTAAACCTCCCTGAATGGCTGCAGCCATTCTCTCGGGTCCTGTTTCTGCCCCAGAGGGAGGAGAGAGCTGCACAACTCTCCTAACACAGACCCCAATAACCAAGAACACCTCCCACTCCAACTCAGCAGAGAGCAGTCTGCAATAGCTCCCTCTTACAACCATGTGCTAAAATATTTACATCTGAAACAAACCCATACAAGGTGAGAAAAACACTGTGAAATTTTTCCAGGCTTGTCGATTTTCCTATTTAGTAAATGCTCAACACCCCAGAGGTCAGTTCCCCACTAGCACAGGAGTTATTCCCTTTCCTGCTTGCTGGCACTCCTTGCTGAGAGGCAGCACAGAGGTGTTGTCCCATCCCAGGCAGAACTGAAGCCCTGACTGAAGCAGCAACATCTGTTTTCCATTTTGTCCTTTAATCTAAAAATAAAGATCTCAGACACATGCCAAACCGAATCCCTGAAAACCAAAATAACTACACAGGAATCAAACAAAAAAAAATATAAATAAACCTGCAGCCCCACAGCAATAAAACCAAATTCCTTTTTAGTTACATCCAGCCCAACATCTCAGCAGGGTCAGCAAATAAGGGAAGTGAATGTTCTCGCCAAAGCCAACTACACACAGCTCATAAAAGACTCTGTTTGTTGGTGCCGCCCTGAAATCCTAGTTCTTGCTCCCAAGCCCCAAAAAATGGGCATTTCCCTGCAGAAGTCAGTCCTTATCAACGTGGAGAGATCCTACCAAGCTTCACTCCTCCTATCTGCCCCAAAATGCAGCGTACTGGAGGGACACGCCTTGCCAGAGTCTGAAATAAAAACAACAGAGCCCAGCCCTGGTAATTCGGAATAAACGCCTTTTTCTTGGAGCCTGGCTGAACCTCTGAGATAAGAATGACATTTTTTCAGAGCTGCCTCAAAGACTCCTCAGTCTTCGCTGGCAAACCCAAACAGAAAGTTTACAAATAAACAGAAGATATAAACACAGAACTAGGGTCACACTTGTCTAAATATCCTCTACCCAAGAGCTTTAGCAGCTCTGCTGCTGCTGCTCATAGCAAACATTTTGTACCTTTGAATCCCTAAATAAATCAGGAATTCATGATTCCATTTATCCTGGAACGATTTCTTAATGAAGGAATTATGGCTTTGGATTTCAAACCTGACTCAACGGTAGTAAGGTCTCAATTTTCATTCTTAGAGGACTCCCAAAATCAGTTGCCACATGATGGTGAGACACAAATATAGCTCCATCTTCACTTGAACTCAGAAGAGCTGCACTCAAAGTCAGATGACTCCTGGGTAACACCAGCTTTCTTTCAACAGCTTCCTTTTACAAATCCCAGGCTCCACAGGTTTTTTGGTTTTAGTGCTGAAGTGCAGCAAGAAATGAGGCTGACAACACCAGTGGCACCCTGTTGAAAACTCCCACTGACAGAACTTCATTTCCACTGACAAGGAAACAGTTATTGCAGTTCCTACACAACTGGGTTGCAGAGATGTTCTGAACATTGAATTAAACAGACTGAATTCAGCCCATGTATTCACAAAGCAGAGACTTTGTGACCTCTTGCAGGCTCAGATAAAGAAATGGGCAGGTGCAGTCAACAGGACTCCTCCATTTTCATCTAACATTACATCACAATGAAACATTTTGCAAGAAGGGAATTAAAAATCCAGGTATTTTCCCACTAAAAGTCAGCAGCATCATTTTCAGCCTCAGCTCCTGCTCACCTGATAGCACTGAGGTTGGATTTTATTGGTAAATCACCATGCATGCTATAAATCCTTAACCTTGCCCTAAGAAGTTAACAGGCTTCAGGGACCAAACACAGATGAAGACAAGTTGAACAAAATATTCATGGATTTCTATTTGTATTTCACAGGACAGTTCCACTCTACTGACTTGTATTCAGTTATGAACAAATGCAGCCTCAATACAACTTGAAACACTGCAGCTGAAATGCTTCCACATCCCTGCAAGCAAAAAACCCCAACCCACCACTCTTTCAAACCCTACTGCTCAAAAAAAACCCAAATTCCTTCTGCTCCCCCTCAACACTTCCAAAAAGGGAAAAAAAAAAACCAGATTCATGCCCCTGAGTTTGCACAGACCCAATTTGTTACAACAAGGTGATGATTTTCAAATGCATCTCACTCAGGGCAACGTCTATTTTCACTTTTTGGAGAGTGAGAGGGTTTTTTTTTAAGCTTAAGCTCCTTCCCTTCTGCCAGAACTCAACAAGAGCCAGAACACATTTAAAGCCCATCTAAAGGAGAGATCACTGTACAAAAGTACAGCTGAACGTGAACCAATTAAAGGGATAAAAAAGATCTTCCAACTCCACATCTGCTGAGAGAACAGAGCCCTGGTGAAAGAGCCTGGCAACACCTTCAGTTCATAAGGGACTATTTCGGTAGCAAAAGGAGTGACAGATAATGCCCAAGTTTTCAGAGCAGAAAGATACTTTTGTGAGACGTTTGGCAGCCACACAGACTCACACTGCTCCTTCTGCTGCTCCTACGTAGGAATTTTCATGAGGGAAACCAAAATGGAAACGTGCAGGAGGAGGCAGAGCAAAGAGTGTGTGGATTTACTTATCAGAGTACAAAGTGACAGGGCAGAACGCTTCAACCCTTTGTAAAATAACTTTTTTTTTTTATTAAAACACGAGCTGAGGGCAGTAAGATGGGATTCCTGAGGCTGCCAGCAAGTTCTGCAGCGAACACAGCACATCGTTTCTATGCTCAGGAAAAACAATAACATTAAGAAGCCACTACAAAGCTGCAAAAATCCCACTTTTAAAATTTATTCTCTGTAGCGAGGTAGCAGACCCCCAGATAGCTCTCACTGCCACACAGCACAACATGAAGATGGCTTTGAAATACTCACATGAGGTCTTGAAAGGGAAGGAAGCCCTGAAGGGCTGTGTTCTTCATTTGTAGGCTCTGGGTATCTACAGTCATCTATCCTCATATAGGAGTCGTACAATCCATCTCCAATCCTGCCTGGAAAGGTCCCACACAGAAACCAGTTATTCACAACAACTCACACTGCTGGAGACACAGCCAAAGGCTTAAATGTGGCTCCCTTTTGCACGCTTTAGTCTGTAAAATCATTGATTCTCCTTCATTCATTAAATGATCTTTGGAGTTTAACTATATTTTCATACCACAAGACTGTGATGCTTCTGGAGAATCTTAATTCGAGATACTTTTAATTCAGAGGTTCTTTTTTGTTAATCAACTTCTGCACTGCAAAAAAAATACATCCCTAAGAAACGTTAACCACCATTCTCCCTGCTTCCCCTTAATCAGGATAATCCCAAACGAGCAGAAAACGAGCAAATACTTAAACACTTGATAGGACTATGCTTTAAAGCAGGTTATCCCTTAAAAATGAGATCTGGGAATTACAGCTGCAAAAACGTGGGGAATGAAAAAAA